ATATATATAAATAGATTGTCGGTTCGGTTCAATTAACTGATCTCAATTGCCTAAACTGAACCGAAAACAAAAATTTTGAGAAAATATAAACCGAAAACCTAACCAAACTAGTACAACGCCAGTGTACTACACGGGTGTTTCATAAGAAATTAATTGTCCAACATAAATTGAAAAATAAAATAAAAATCTTATTGTGAATTAAAAAACCATAAATATTGAATAGAATTATATTTTTTTAATATTATTTTGAATTCTATAAAATATTTTTATAAAGTATTATTTATTTTATTTTATATATATTTATTTTTGTCAAAATTAAATAGATTAAATAATTTATTCGATAGTTAACAACGCCCGTGATTATCACAGACGCTTGAAAGTTAAATATTTGTATCAAAATACAGAAGTGAAGTAATATATATTCTTATAATAGAATGATAAAAATTTAAATAAAAAACTAATAACTAAAAAATAACAAAAATAATTATTTAAAATAATACTCTTATTTCATACTCAAAGTGTTAAAATGATAATTTTCTTAACCACAAACACGCAAACACAAATATACATATTTAATTTTGAATTATTTTTTTTTTCAAGTTTGACTATATTGTAATTATACTTTGTATTTATATAATTTTTCTCCTTGACTATATATGTTTGAAAATATCTTCAACTTTATGATGTTCAACAATTTAAAATATAATGGTGTGAGTGTAATGTTGTAAACTTTACAAGATAAAATAATTATTTTTATAATTGTAATTATAATGTTTATTTACTTTCTTTTTCAAGATCATAATGCTTCTGTGTAGTCTTTATTTAAGTCGAGGCATAAACTTTTAGAATATTTCTTATACTAATTTGATGCTCGTACTTAGTTTATTTATTTTTTCTAAATAAAATAACTATATTATAGTATGCTAATACACATAATTTTAATTGCTTTACAAGATAAAATATATTATTTTAATATATTTTAGTCTAGTTTGATTAATGATTCTAGATTTTATTTATAATATTATATATCATATATAAAATCGAAGATCGTTAAAAGTTAAATAATTTGATATATCATATACAAAATTAAAATACAAACCAAAAATGTTATAAAGTTTTAAAAATAAAAAGAACAAACATTTATAATAATTGATGTATGAATTAAATAAGAAAATGAAAATAAAATTTAATATTTGGTAATGTAGAAAAAAAAAACTTAAAATAGTTTATGGTAAGTAATTGTAGAATAAAAGAATGAAGAGATCAATAAGGATTTAATATGATATATGAAACCCAAACTTACTTATTTTGTACAAAAATATTAATTTATATCCAAGCCTGACTCCAAAGCACAGTTTTTTGCCACATAGGATTTCGAAGCGTGAGAGCGTGCCACTTAGGCTATGTTTGGTAAAACTAGCTGATAAGCTAGCTGATAGTTGATAGATTATCAGTAATTTTTTAGATTATACCTTATAGCTTATGACTTATAGTTGAAAAGCTAGCTTATGTGATAAAAGTGTTTGGTAAAATTAGTAGATAAGCTAGCTGGAATAAAAAATTCAACTAGCTTATTTGAAAAACTACCTAAACAATTTTATCAAATAAGCTCGAGTCTTTTAAAAAAGCTCGTCCTACCAAACGAGGTTTATTTGAATACAGGGAGCTTATAAGCTATAAGCTAGCTTATTTGTCTACCAAGCATAACCTTAGGCTCAACACATTCTGCAATTATATATAAGGTGGGTATTTGGTTTGGGGTTCGATTTCGGTCCAAACCGAATTTTCGATTTATGTCGATTCGGCTCGGTTAACTTAACTTTGTGTACTCTGATACATTCTGACGGAGTGGACTGAATTCCTTTGAACTTCTCCATAAACCCTTTTGATTCTTTTAGTACAGATAATTAACTAATTACCCACAAAATCACCTAGCCTTTTCAAATCCAAAAAAACCCCAAATACAAAATTAAATTTCCGCCCGATCACATATCCAAATTCCCACCGGAAAACTGACGGCTGGCGGGCGACCACCTATCACAAATGGCGGCGGAGGTTCTGGAAGTCATCCACATTCCGGACGGTGCACTCCCGGACGCCGGCGGCGGCGACGACGACGAAATCTCCGTCGTCTACGCGACGACGTTTCCTCCCAAGCGAGGCGCCACCAAATCCGACGCCATATCAGTGGAGGACTACCGCCCCAAACCCAAAACTCACCACGCCGACGATGATGATCTCAAGATCCTCTACTTTTTCCCCAAATCTCGTAAAAGGGTTTTCACAGGCGAGTGCTCGAGATCGAAAACGGGAAACAACGACGCGGCCCACCAATTTCTGTGCGAGATCTGCGCTGACGAGAAGCCTAATCGCGAAAAGTTTAGCATTTTGGGGTGCGATCACAGCTACTGCTCCGATTGCGTGAGAAAATACGTGGCCTCAAAACTGCAAAACAACGTTGTCTCCATAGGCTGCCCTGTTTCCGGGTGCCGAGGCACCCTCGAGCCTCAGCACTGCCGGTCAATACTACCGGACCAGGTTTTCGACCGGTGGGGGGAAGCCCTGTGTGAGGCCGTGATCTTGGCTTCCGAGAAATTCTACTGCCCGTTCAAGGATTGTTCGGCCCTTTTGGTGGACGACTCGTGTGGGGGAAATGGGGTTATGGCTGAGTCGGAGTGCCCGAATTGTAACAGGCTTTTTTGCGTGCAGTGTAAGGTGCCTTGGCATTTTGGGATTAGTTGTGATGATTTTAGAAAGCTGAGGGCCGACGAGAGGGGTAGTGAGGATATAATGCTGGTGAACTTAGCCAAGAATATGAGGTGGATGAGGTGCCCCAAGTGCAGGTTTTATGTGGAGAAGTCGGAAGGCTGCTTGTTCATGAAATGCAGGTTGGCCTTTTTTTCCCCCAAAAAAATATGTATTTTTGTTTTTTCTCTTGGCCTTCTTTGATATCTCTGGCCATTTTTAGCGAATGGGTTCATTTGAGGTGGATTTTAGTTCTTATGAATGTGCGTTGCTTGTGTTCTTGCTCTAACAGTTGCTTGCTTGTGGTGTTTGTTGACGTGCTACTAGCTGTTGTTGAGTTGTGTGGTGAAGTTGGATCTTTGCTTGTAGAAGGTTTGAAAAAATGATCATGCTTAGTGGTGACTGCTAAGTGTTATTGTGCCTATGTATTTTGCTTTTTGGTGTGAATTTTGTGTTGGTATTTTGTGCACTTGGGCTAAGTGTCAGCAGTTTTTACCAAAGTATAACTGGGGGGATTTTTATGTATACAAACATTTTTTCATGATCTTTGATGAAATTTACACGGCCTAACATCTTTCCCGCTATCAGCTATGCTACATTGGTCTGAAAAATATCTGTCTGGGCCAGCCTGGTAGGCAGGCTATTTTTTTTTTTTTTTGTTTTTTTTTTGGTACAGTTACTTGTGGGATGGGCCTGGCCAAGCCAGTCAGGTTTCTTGAGTTGGCCCAACAGGACCGAGCTGTTCAAGCTCGAAATATTTTGCAAGCTCTACACTTTCAAGTGTGCAAATATGTTTTTATCATAAACTCTATAGACTGGGCTTTAGATACACCACGATTTTATCTTTTTAGATCTATGCTGATTTTGCTCCATTGTACTGCTTTGTTTGATTGTGTAGGTGTGGACATGGTTTTTGTTACAACTGTGGAGCTCCTCTAAAAGAGCATTACTGTCGTCAATGCAAGCACTAAATCGAGCTCCTATTCCCGGTCAATATGATGCAGTTGATGTTAATATGTCATTATGGACTTAGTAGACTCCGGCCCTGTTCGCCATGCATGATTTGAATGGATTACATCAGGATTGACCTGTTTGTTTTGGAGGACGGTTTTGTAGATGTGGATGGTTTTTGCTTTAGCCACTGGTGAATTCTTTCATAATTATGGTTATATATCTATATATATGATTTTACTTTAGCCCTCTGGCTGACATGTTATCTATTGTCAAATAGGTCGATCAAAAGTGAAGTTTATTTTAAAATTTCCCCTCCAAAAAAGTGGTTCAAACTAAAATATCATACTTTGAAAATAAGATTAAAAATAACATTTCATAACTCAACGGTTAGACCGACCTACTAAATCATCAAATTAATACATTTAATCATCTCACTTAACACTACATTAATTTTTATTTTGAAAGTTAACCATTTCTTCCTTTTTGTCTATCTTCTAGTAGACAAGTAGTTGGATCAAACCTCAAGGGTATTATTTGTCAGCATATCCCTACTAAGTACATCTGTATGTATGGCTGGAAAATTGATACCTTAAGTTGCACCAGCTCGCAATCCTTAGTACATAAAGAAGTAATTCACAAGATTCTAAATTGAATCTACAAAATTATTGGTATATTATGAAATTTTACTCGGAAAATAGCCATATCTTTGCGTCGATAATAAAAGCAAGTGCAATGCATCAGAAGTGGATCACATGAGGTTATCGAGTTGCGCCTGCAAATCTTGTATCGTGACCATATTGACAATACTCTGTATGTCTTCGGGAGAATATTCCGTTTTAAGCAAGGTCTGCACCTGAATATGGGCTTCGACTATGTTTGTCCTGCAAAATAAAGACGGGGAACAAATTATGAAAACTGTGTCATGAAATAAATAAATAGAATTAAGATGATAAATGTTGATTAACAAATCGAGTTGGGATATCTTACTTTATTGGTTTGAAAAGTATGGCGCGTGTGGCCGGATTCTGCAGATAAAGCTTCATTTTACCCATTACCCTCGGCAGCTCTTCTTGAATAGCCAAACCCACCTGTTGTGCAAATAAGTACACGACAAAATTAATCTCCCCTTCTTGAATTTGTTTTGGTCTTCAAGTTCAGTAGAAGAGGACAAATATCAAGAAGATGAATATCTTACGAAAATTTGGAAATTTACGGAAGTATGAGAAAGTACCACACGCCAACCGATCCTTTGTAAATCATATATACCTTTTGGACAATCTCAGCAACCTTTTCAGGAGTAGCAAAAGCTTGATCCTTGAGTGGCTTACTCATGGCAGACTCCTTTTGATTTTGACTGCCAGAGGATAAAGCAACTTTGACAGCAGTGACCTGTGCGGATGAATGATTAGCAAAAAAAGTTAAACCAGCTGTACCACTTACATTAAGCAGTGCAAATGGAAATATGGAAATATGAAATTTTTACTGCATCTACACAGAAAACCAAAATCCGGTCATGTAAGTAAATACTCGGCAAACTCATGAATCTCTGGTATGAATTAGCGTGCTCTTGTACAACACTCTACCCTAAATTTCAAAACATTATTTCCATTATAATCTGCGTCTATTGCCTAACCCATGAATATCTCTGCAGATGCCTCATAACAAGCTTACTTGCACAGACGCTGAAAACAATACATAAGTTCCATTGAGATAGTATCTGAATTGAAAAATTATATATAACCAACCTTGGTGACAAAAGACAACATAGGATCTACGACCAGTTTAGTCACTGACATGATGAACTCCTCGCATGTGGCTTTAAGGCTTTTCTCCAGTTCCTGCACTTGAAGTGAGATATCAAATGCGGACATGAAGTTGATCGATAATGTAAAAGAATACTGACGACAAAACAACGGAAATTGATAAGGAGTTTGGATTGCAAACAGAATCACATGAAGGACCCTCCTCTCAAGATCGGTCAACAAGTTTTCAGCTAATTCTTAAACCCAAAAGATATACCAGAAACAATTTAGTCCCATAGTTTAGCGAAAAGGGAAAGGAAGCATGTAGAATAAGAATGGAACACAAAATATTCCATACATCTCATATCTATAACCTACCCAATCAGACAAATGAGTACATATAAAAAACTTGTTCGAGTTAGAGATTTGGGTGGAAAATAAGACTATAAACCCCCAAGCTCCCTTTAATAATCCAGGCTTACCTTTTTCGCATCTATTTGACTTTCCAAAATTCGTGGAGAGAGTGTTCTTGCCAAGGATGTAGACCTTGACCAATCAAATAGTGATGCCTGGCCTCGAAGAATCCGTCTCAAATGCTCCTGGGAAATGCAATCAACTAATTCAATATAATCATAACCAAATATCAGAAAAAGAATCAATCTCTATGACTGCGCCATTTCAGACGACAGTTTCAAAAGGTTAACATTCAGTCAGTCGTGAAACAGAGGCCAACATTTCAAATAATGGTTGTGCCTTTCCCCAGAGCCCAGAAGCATTCAAAAAATTACATGACAATATTTATCAAAATGAAATGATCTTAATAGTCTTATAAATTGATGGTACTCTAGTGTCATAAAGAACACTGTACTTAGAGCATGAATTCAGGTCTTATGATGGTTCAAAACTAAGGGCAGGAACTTTCCAGTGCTACATTAAATGGGTCAGTTCTCACAAATGTTCATAACATTTGTGGCCCATAAATAATAGGTCTTGCTTTAAAACTCGCAGAGGGAAAAGAAATGATGAAATTTTCATTGATCTGCATTCGAAACAAGTCTAATCTCAAATCAACATCAGTGTAAAATCAGTACCAGTAAATGAGAGAAGTCAAGCTCCTTGTGTGTAACTGAGAATTCAATATCAAATGGTGCAATCTGCAGATGAACTGCTTGATTAAGTTACAGAAAAGAAATATATTAAAAATACATGAAAACAATTGTTTGAAAATTAGAGTTAGAACATGACCTGCTCTCTGAGAATAAGAAGAAACTTTAAGAGGAACAGTTGTCCGTCCATTGTGGATGATCTTTTTACAACAAGTTTACTAGCTTTCTATCAGATAAGAACAAAGGAATTGTCAAGAAGCAAATGCAAGGAATGAGAGTACCAAATAAAATAAATTCATAAAATCAGACTTTATCATAATTATTGGCCACGATTTCAAGACACACAAGAGGTGAATGAGATATAAATTGGTATGGAATGAAAACTCAAAAATAAAAAATTTCCAAAAAAAGATGAGCTATGTTATTTAAAGTTTAAATCCAATTCTATGGACACATGAAATGTGCTTCTTTGAAATGTTAAAACCAATGTCTTCCCCGACGCTATCTCAATATCCGATAAGCTAAAAATCTCAAAGCACTCACCTGAATGGATAAAGAGCAAACTTCAATTGCTTCCTGATATAGACAATGGATAAGGAAAAATGAAAGTGATAAGAAGAGGGAAACAGAATTGAATAAAACATATTATCAAACAAGGAAAGATAGCTCAATACTAATACCTGGGCCAAACCAGTAAAAACTGCTGGCTCTAAACATCGATACAGTTTAGACAAACAGGTTATAGTTTTCTCAAGTGGAGGGTACCAATTCCTAGAAACATCTGGGTTATCAACACTCTGCGGTCAGATACACAGAAAAACATTATATATAATTAAAAGTTGACAAGCTATATAGAAATAGATATGTGATAAAAGAAAAAAAAACAAAAGTCAAAACAGCAGCAGGGCAGAAATGAAAAGGGTTGTGTGGAACCAAGTTTGAATTTCATATTAGAATACAAGGTAATATGAGACCAAAGTGTCAGAGAAAAGCTTGCAGCCAGGTTACAACAAAATACTAAAAATGGAATAATTATTAAGAATTCAATAACAAGCTGTACAATGGGACAAAAGAACAACGAGAAATATCAAATCAGGATAAAAAAAACTCTTGAAGGCGCACAACAAAAACTGAGGAACACTTACAGACGATGCTTCTGAATTTGTCTCAGCTGATTGCTCCAGTTTAGAAGGGTAGTCTAGGTCTTCATCCAAAGGAAGGTAATTTGCAATCTGGACGAGAACAGAACCAATATAACAATATCCACATACATGCAAAAAAAAAAAAAAAAAAAAAAAAAAAAAAAAATCTCAAGCAAAGAAAAGGGTGATAATTCTATGAAACTAAATTACCAGAAATTACTGAATCCTGTCCATCCAACAACTTAAGGTCTAAAAGAGGTAGCCGTAGCAACAAATTGATTTTTATCAAATCCGAACTCATTTTTCTGTAGAACTTAAATTACTTGAATCACACTAGATGTTGATTACATATCTTTTTTCTGCTCATCCGAAATCAGGAAGCACATAGGTGTAGAATCATCAAGCAGTTCGTTTTTCCCATTTTCTTCTTAAGAGTAAAACTAAACATATGTGCGTAAAAACTTGAACTGTGATCTAAGCCAATAACTCTCTCAAGCTACAGTAGTTACCTCATCACGAATGTGAGTTCTAGCACGAAAAGTTAAACGCTCGTGAACATCTGCTAATATCCTTTCCAGTGTTGGGCGTAATCCCGCAAGGGATTCTCCTCTTTTACTTACTTGTTCCGCCAGCACTTCAACTTTCAGAATATCAACAAGCTCACAGAGAACATCGAGGTTTGCTTCATGGATAAGTCTTGGACGTAATGTATCATATAAGTATGTACACCTGCCAAAATTGAATGAAGAATTTGAATTGGTGATGCATGTAATGTAGAATCTTCGAACTCATGTACTGAAACTCAAAGTTTATATGACTAACATGGTCAGAGGTTATGAGAAATAAGTCCTGAATTGCAAAGCATGGTACAATTGATGTCATATATTATTCGAACACATTCCATATTAAGGGCACAAAGGAACCAGTCAAAGCTTACATCACGCTAAATTACATTAATTTTATCTTATTATACGTGCGTCAACTAGAAAGCACTGAGAGCCATGGCAGCAAATTCATTGTTCTAACT